ACTAATACCAAAAGACCAAAAGACCAAAAGACCAAAAGGACCGGAATAAATGTGAAAAAAAAGAAAAAAGAGGAGAAGGAGAAATAGACCGGGAAAAAAATTTTATAAAAAAGAATGAGCAAAGGCAGATTCAAAATAAGGAAGATATAATCACAACAATTTTTGGACAACTTATATAAAACTTATGATGTCAAGATTGATCAAAATCATCATTGCCACAGTAAATACTGAACAAAAGTAAAATATGTCTACCGAATAAAAAGGTAAAATTCATCCGCAGAAAAAGGGAAGTTATATATATATATATAAGTTTTGAACAAAATATTCATTCAAAAGAAGGCAAAAAGGACAGAGTAACTAATAAAAAAAAAAGAGAGATATGGTCAATAAATTTTAGTAAAAGTAGTTAAAAATAAGTATATGAAACAAAGACACATATATATATATATATATCGCTGAAAAATAAATAAACAGGGACTTAATGTATGAGCAAAATGTAGTAATCAACAACAGGAAAAAAAAGGGTAGAAAGAAAAGAGGTAGTTTACTAACACTTATTAACAATAGAACAAAATTTTTCTGAGCAACATATAGTAGTAACATCCATTTAATAACATAATAAAATCATTTATGAACGGAAGCAAACCAATATATGTAACATCAACAACAAATATTGAAAAGTTGCGGGCAAGGATCATTAAAAGTACCTAGAACGCTATAAACACTTCCTTAAGTGTGAAATGTCGACCAACCAAATGCAAACAAAGAGAAAAAAAATGCAGAGATAGCAGAAGAAAGTAGTAAATGATGGAGAATGAAGTAGAGCAGTAAATGATCGAGTGTCAAATGTTGAAGAGAATGAGTAAAGTGTAAAGGAAGTAAACAGAGATATATAAAATGTATTCATGTGCAACATCAGTATTTATAAATAAAAAACAGGAGAAGAATTACGAAGAGTGTATAACCTATATGAGTCTCACACGTAACAACAGAATATCAGTTTAGAAACAATAACAAATTGATATTTCTTAATTAAATAATAAGGGCCATATATGATTACAGTAAGAAGAATGAAAAAAGACAGAATAGGGATTAGATAATGATCATCTCACACACAAAGGAAAAAAGGAGGAAAAACAGAAAGAAAAAGGTCACAGAACAATTTCTTTTTCCAAAATTTCTCACGTATTTCAGACAATAAAGGGAAAAATTATCAAGTCACTTAATAGCTCTGAATTGAAATCAGTATTGATCACCAACCTAGGTAGACAAATCAGCACTCTAAATAATTCAGATCAGTAGATTAATAAATGCAGAAGGAAAAATCTAGAATAATCTGTACACACGATAAAATCAACAATAGAAAAGATCAAACATGCAGGTAAAACCCTTTATAGGAAAACCCTTTATAAGAATCAACTGAAGAAAGAAATAATAATCACAGACGTATTTTAGGAAAACCCTTTATATTATACAGTAAAAAACGAAATAAATTTTAATAAATTCAGGAGAATTTGAACACAATAGACACCAAAGAAAACATGAAATAAAAAGACCATGAAATTTAACCGGAGCAACTACAGAGGAACAAAACCAACAAAAACGGAGGGAAAAATATTAAAAGGGGAAAAAAAGGGAAGCACAAAACATGCACTCTGGCAAGAGGAGATAGAAAACCAAACCAAAATGGCAGATCAACCTAATGGAGAAGTAGGCAAGAGGAATAAAAAAACCCTCCACCAAAGCCAAGTTGAACCAAAAAAGCCTCCATCAAAACCAAAGAAAACGCCCAAACGAAATCGAAGAACCAAAGCCCAGATAACCGACAACGAAGAACAAATGGAAGCCCCCAATTTTCACCAAAATCAGATGACAAAAGGCAAAAAAAAAATAGAAGCACCGAAGAAGATAACCAGAGTTTCTAAAGAAATCCACCGAAAGAGAGAGAGAGGACAAAAGGTCGCAGAAGGCAGAAAATGGAACGAAGAAAAGTTGCTCTAGAAACAAAGAAAAAAAAATAAAGATGTAGAAGGCAGCAAACGCAAAGGAAAAAAGTAAAACATTCAATCTGAGTGCAAATGACCAAAACGGTCAGATTAAACCAAAGCAAATGAAATTAAAATAAAGGGTAATATAATAACTTTAAAAAGGACATAACAGGAATAAAAATTTAAGTGAAGAAATAAGTAAGGGTAAAACGAGAAAGACACTGTTCATTGTACTGTAGCATGAACAGTGAATCCGTCATCTCTTTTAGTATATGTATAATGTAATCACAAATAGAATTGATCGCATACCTGTAGGCTGTACTAGTTGATAGCTTTTTTTTTTTAATTAAAAAAAAAAAGACAATTAGTGTCATCTCATCACTTAATTTTTTTTCAGCGCCTCTCATGGTTAATCAATACAACTAAAAAGACTTAACTTAATTATACTCAAAATATGAATTAAGATTTTAATTATGTCACTACACATTTAACACTGCATAACTCATTAGTCACACAGAGTTTTTTTTTTTTTTTTTTTTTTTTTTGGGGTGAGTAAGTCACATAGACTTTATAAAATGGGAATGTAGAGTATCAAATTTTGAGGCATTCTGAAAACAAAAGAAAGAAAAACATCCTAACAGCTGTTAACAATGGGTTTGTGGCTGTTGAACGCAAATACTTGAACAGGGAGATTCCCTCTAATTGCGGTACTGGAGAGGAAACGACAGACCATCAAAAGTACATAATAACACGGGTTGCTTTACAGATTTAAATTTTTAATTTAAATTAAGATGTGATATTTTTTAAAAATTTATAATTATAATATAAAAAATTATATGTGATATTTTAAAAAAAAATTATATGTGATATTTTTTTTAAAAATTTAATTGTAAAAATTTAAAATTAAAAATTCAAATCGATAAAATAAATAAGGTCTAAATCTATACAGTTGGCTAATTTCATTGCTCATTTTGTTTTATAATATAAGCAGTCGGTGGACATCAATCACATTCGTACGCAATTCACCACCAAACGACAAACTAAAGTTGTCAGAATATACATAGAATATATTTATGTACATGTAACATGTTATTAAGAATAAAAAACTTCTGTGAAAGTCAAAAGAGAGCTCCTACGTGAAGAAATACATATCTAGCCGTGAAATGGAATTAGATTTTGATCATATACCATACAAGTACGTATGCATACATACACACATACATGCATATATGTGTGTGTGCATGTGTGTGTAATGCGTGTAATTATTACGTCGAAATCTGATGAAAACCATGATGGGAACTAAATACATCATGTTCATTGATATTATGAAAATAACAAGCAAAATTGATGCAGAACTCTATTCCAACGATTTGTGAAATCAAGATCGTTTTACGAGAATATGGAAAACAAATATTTTGCACGGCAAACAAGTTTTCACTAGTCAGTGACTCAGTAGAGGCCGAAAGCGGACACGAGAGAGCTTTCCTCATTGACCTCCAAATCCAATATATCACGTTTGTGCTTCAACAGAATATCACGCATAAGACATGTTCGGATAAAACCTAAGGCTCTCTTTCTTAATTTCAGATAAAAAAAAAAAGCATTATTTTTTTATTTTTTTATTTTCATGGAACCTATTCCCAAGGCTCTTATTTGAGAATTGAATTAATCTTTTCTTTTTTCCCTTAATAATCTTAAAATGACGTTTGTTTCAAAAATTTTGTCTAGTTTAAAATCAAAATTCTTAGTTATGTTACAGTATTTTTCTCCTATAAAAAATTTAAATTTTAAAAATTAAAATAATAAATTATGATTTTAAACTCATGAATCAAACATCACCTAAATGTGGAACACTACAATAGTGCCCAGTCGCTGAAAAGGTGCCAATCACGTAGGAAAAAGAACAAACGTCATGAAAATATTACGTAGAATATTACGTGGGTTGTTTGTTGCCACTTTTTTTTTTTTTTTTTTCCTTCATTTTTTAATGCGCGCGTAAGAGCTTTTATCGTATCCTAAAACGAAACATGTAAATAGTGATTTTCATAAAGAAAGGCAATCCATGGAGCTCAAGTGAAAAAAGAAGAGAAAAAGAGAAAAAAAAGATTCCCCCAAGTCAAAAAAAGGAAAGTAGCACAAATAGATCATGTCATTAGATGCAATTGGCATAACATATGACACATTACATACTAATTTCTATCGAATATGACAAAGTGAAGAAATAAAACAATTTTCCCTCAAAAGAAAAAGAAAAAGAAACAAAACCACTTGTAATCATAATCGGTGAAAGATGCGCACTACAGGATAAAGCGACTAAAAACGACATGATCACTGGCAAATAAACTAATCTATCAGATGAAAAAGCTACATAAAAGACTGCTTTTTGCTTTTATGCATATAAAAAATGTATATTTAATTACACCAATCGTCTTGATAATCAAATCTACAATGATAACTCGAAGCCACAATTTGAAAAACAATGTATATAAGTCATTTTGAAGGACAGTAACGCGACGAGTTAAAAACAAGGTCAACTTCCTTGTTTGGACCAACTAAAGTTTCCTAGCAAAAGTGACTAATTGAAGATTAAGGTAGCCAATTGGATCACCGTGTTTCACGTGTGTGTAGAGAGAGAGAGAGAGAGAGAGAGAGAGAGAGAGATTCTCATGTCAAAGACAGAGATTTACTTGATTCTTATGTCAAAGACGTTAAAACTTAAAAAGTTTTTTAACACGAGTGAAAAACAACCTTGGCTGTGTCTACATATAAGTTACTTTTGGGGAAAAGATTTGCGTGGACCTCTAGTCGGAGTTAAAAAGTTTTTGACAAAACAAGCAAAACCTAATGGTACATGTACTTGAAGGTTCATGATGATATTTCTCAATTCAAAAGTAAGAATTAAAATTTATTTGGATAGACATATAATACAAAATCAGACAAGGATCAGAGTAAAAACTAGGTAGGAGTAGAGTACTCGGACTAAAACAACCCGCACTGAAAACAATATCGTCAACGCTCTCATTTACACTAAATTTTTAAATAAGATCTAATTCGGTACAATTGCTCCATCGATTTGCATCTCATAGAAACCATCTATCAGTAACTCAACTTTATATCCACTGTAATCTATGTTTTACCCGTGTCAACGTATGTTCTCTTTTAGTTTTCTTTTTTCTTTTTTAAAGGAAAAGGAACAGTTTTCTGCCATGAGATGAAGTGACTTGCATTGAGCAATACAAAATTGGAGTTCTAAATAATGAGATAAGAAACCTCGAACCTTGTTCGTTTTAGCAGTTCAGCTTTGTTCTTCTGAATTTTCAAAGACCCCACGTGAATGTTTGGGGTCAGAGTAACGAGACAGTTATTCTCCTCATAAGGTTAGCTTCCACCTTCTTTATCGCTCCTGAAAATGCTGTAGATATCACTTGAGATGGCCATGATGCTTGATGAGACGGCTAATAGGATCATCAACCATGATATGAACCTATCATTCTTTGTTGCAATTCCATGAATATCCCTGCATTAAACAGAGAAAACAATGTTCATTATTTCACATTATGGAGAAGACAAACGCATTGTGTTAAGTGATGCAAGGAAGTTTCTCAATGCAGAGAGTAACGCAAAACAGAAAATAGAAAGTGCAGCTGTGCAGACATTCATGCAGATTTTCCCATGCAGGAAATTCCACTAAAAAGAATACATTGAAAAAGGTGTTAAAGACCTTTAGTAACCTAAATTTAAGGCAGAAGACTCAAAAAGAGAAAAAATGACTAAGCGAATCCGCATCTTTACTACTTGATATTAACTTAAGGAACTTTGTACTTTTGGCTCTATCTAGGATCTTTTATATAACTTCAAAAACAACATAAGCTTCATGCTTCACAGGAAAACAGCCTTGACCACACACTTGTATTTAGAAAATCAACATCCACATAATGATTACAAATACAATCTTTTTCCCAAATTTAAGCGACACCGGCACAGTACTTTTCCTTGTACACACGTTGTAAAGAATCAGATGAGTCACGAGCCAGAAATAAAGGACAAAGAATTAATATTCATAACCCTGTTAGTATTAGTTTGCGCGTATCTGGATCTTGAATTCAGCACAGCTGTTTATGATATCAGTATTACTAACAAAAAAACATGTTAATTGATCCTTACCTAAGCACAATTGCAGCTGGAAAGATGAATCCAACAGAGGTTGCTGCTGTGGCACCAGTAAACTGAAATGCATCCCAGATGCTAGGCACAAAATTAGCTCCCATGAAAATAAAACCCATGAGTGCTGCAGTTACTGAGAAGAACCTCCGATTGTTGAATGCAATTGGAAGCGCATAAGGAAAGAGAAGACCATCAACATTGAGGCGAAGAGAGTAAAACACAATGGGAAAAACAAGCATCAAGTGGATGCCATAGCTCACCCTAACGACATCAGTAAGCAATGACCCATATGGAATCCCAAGATCGCCATCAAAATTTGCTAGTACATCATCCAAAGTCTGATCCCCAAAGAGTAGAAATCCAAAGAAACTGGTAGCAACATAGACAGTTGAGCATAATGCAAGTGACGTTCTTGTTATCAACTTCATTTGCACGGGGTCTTTAAGTTCATTCTCTATAGGGTGAACTGCAGATAAATTTTTCAAATTAACCAAAATTTTATTCATAACAAAAATGCTCAAAGAATGTACCATCATTCGAAAAATAAAAAAGTGAAAAAAGAAAGACTGGACCAATGACTCTCTGCTAAGGCCCTTACTGTAACTGCTAACGAAGTACTGCCAATCAATGTGGTGCATTTTTATTTGAAAGACCTATTAGTCTGGGAATGGAGTTTTGAGCACTCTGTTGAATCATTTGGAAAAATTGTTTTAATGAACTCAAGGCTACATCATTTGCAAAACTTGCTAAAAATGATCATACTAGCCATTGACTACAATCAAGCAATTACCAGAGAGAAACCACATTTTATTATCTCTAATTGCAATCAAATATATTGTATTTATAATCGTCTCCTTATTAGTAAAAAGACTGCAAGTGACTATGTAAATAGTAAAGTTCTTCCAGGGAAGTTTGAACTAGATTGAGTTATAAAGGACCAATTTTTGAACACTCAAATAAATTGTATATCAGCTAAGAAAAGTATTAATATTAGAGCACATACTCTTAAGAGGTTATGAATTAAACAGGATCTAGTCTTAGCAACTTACTATTATGATGGCAGATGTAGGCAGTGACTAGAACTGGGACAGTTGTAAAAAGCTTCCAAAATGACACCTGATCAACGAGTTTTGGCATCAACCGTGGCATTCCAATGCTTCCATTCATCAACTTAACCATTGCTACTCCAGCTGTGATGATGACAAACACAATGGCCAAGCCCACCGACAATGCCGACGTGTATCTCAATGAATCTAATATATCACCAATACAATTCAACCACGTTATCCATTTAGCAGCAAGTCTAACTATTCACCATGAATGTAACACCTTGATAGTAGTTCTTGAGCAGCTAGCCAAACTTAATAGTTGAAATATTTCCTAGATTGATTAGTACAAGAAAATCAAATTAACAAAGATTAGTGGATAGAGTAGCGATTCATACCGACGCGCTTGAATGAAATAAGTGGTGAAAAAACAAGGAGGGTGGTAAGTAGTAGCAAGGAGGAGCGTGTAGTCCACCAGTGTTGACCAAACCATTCTTCTATCACACCCAAGTGGTGGACCATCCCCGACCACGTCCCTGATAACACATCCCCTGCACACCAAAACCCCCAATTTCGCAATATTCACAATCCATGATAGTCACTAATAAATTTATCCAGATTAATTAAAGGCACATAAACCAACCACCTAAATCAACTCGTCATCATGCAAATTAGCAGTCAAATACAGTCCAAGAAAACATTAATAGGCTATTCAACAATCCCAGCTAAACACCAATGAAGATACTCCACAAACCCAAAAAAATGAATTGGAATGACAAAATAAAGACTTGCTTTTTGGTGAGAGAATTAGATTTATACCGATGATGATCATGTAGACGACGAGCATGCCCATATTGTTGACGACAATGCAGACCTGAAGAAGGGTCCGGGCGGCACCGCCGAAGGCGTCGCCGACGAGACCCGGATACGTGGCCGCCTTGGAAGCTCGAGTAAACCTCAAGATCATGCCGATGGAGGCCTCCGTCAACATCGATCCGAGAACGATCATGACCAGGCCCGGAATCATCCCCAGCTGCTTCACCGCCGCCGGGAGAGCCATGATTCCGGCGCCGACTATCGTCGTGGAGAGGTTGAAGACGGCGCCGGAAAACGACGCGCCGTCGAAACCGGATTCGAGTGGCTCGCGGTCGTCGTCCTTCTGGGGTAGGAGAGGAATTCTAGGGCTCCGGCGACACTTGCGGTCCATGGAGGGTAGAATCGTCATATTGATCAGGTTCTTTCGAACTTTGACCGTTAACGTTGCAGACGAAAGAGGAATGGAGCGAGAGATTAGACAACTAACTGATAACAAATTGGTGGGTGTGTCGGATTCTTACCTCCGAAAAATAGGTGCGGTAGAGAGCTATTCACGCTGGAACCAAACTTTTCTCGTGTTACAAGCCAATGACGTGGTTACACGTGTACCCGGTGTTTGGTTGTCGACTAAGTGGTCTTTTGGATGACTTTCAAGTTTGAGCTTTGAAATTTCAGTTTGGCCTGCACGGCCGGGTTTACAAGACAAAAATGGAAAGCAGTTTAATTTGACAGATATGTTTCTCTTTTTTTTTTTTGGGTAATTAAGTGGACAGATAGGATACTGAAAGTGCAAGAAAATCCAATTGGGATGTGACAGCTAATCATCCAAGTATGTCCCCTTGTTTTTTTTTTTGGCCAATGCCCACCTAACTAGTTTTCTTATACCCAATCCGGAAAAGAATAATATCCCCACCAAATAAATAGCTAAAAACAAACAATGTGAGTCTTTTTTTTTTTTTTTTTGACAAAAAAAAGTCTCATTTTCAAAGTTAGTTATAAAGTCTACCGTTGCATTTTCATATTTAACAGTAATCAGCATAGCGAGCACCAGAATTTCAAAATTCAAAACGTCCAATCTCTTATGACCCCCGAAAGAAATAAACTGAAGTGGAAAGGGTCTCATTTCTCCTTACCACACAGTTATGTTTCTTTTATGCGTGCCAGGCCCTGGTCCTTCCGAGCCCAATGGGTCGCCCAGGAAGTTGTGGTCTACAGGCCGGAAAGTACACTGCCCATTTTTACCAGCTCTTCCACCAATCACCATCAAGTACCCGTTCCCAAACAGATCCCTTCCTTTTTGTTGCTTAAGACCAGGTCATGAAACCCATGATCGAGTTATTAATACTTCTTCAACTAGGCAAGCTTTACTAACAGTCAATATGTTTTGTTTCCCACTAGTTGTTTTCAATGCTAAGAGTCGTCTCACCCAAAAAACAAAACAACCAAACCAAACCAAAACAACAAAGATAAAGAGCTGACCAAAAAAGTAGGACCAAGTCCTGAGTTCAGCTCTTATCGAGCAACACCGCATTTTTAAGGAACAAATTTAGGATAAAAGAGCTCGGAATAAGTGTAGTTGGAGTCTAGTATGAGGGGAAAAATCAATAATACTCGTAACGTAATCATACTTGGAAGGATTTTCTTTGAACTGAATCTTAGTATTGATACCATGTCCACAACCATCCCCTCTCCCTTTGTTCCATAAGCTAGGAAGTGCAATTTTGGAAGATCGGAAATACATAGATGTAAGAAAGACACTTTCCAAGAAATTTTGTACACCATGTATATATGCAAGAAGTACGGCCAAATTTAAGGATTTGAGTGTGACAAAATGAAGCCTTGAAAGAGCTCATACAAAGATACATTAGTAGCAAATAAATCAGAGTTTGATCCGTCATTAAGTTTTTGAAGAATGCTAAGCAGCGAAGCCCCAAAAACAGTTGAAAGTATCCTAGTACAAACAAAAACATTTTTACCCCAGTGAAGAAAGTTTATAGACTTACAGATTTTTCTGTCAACTAATGCACCATAAATCAACGTTTTCTCTTTCCTCTTGAACTTTTGCTAGTGGTTGTCTGAGTCTTGTGTTCTGTAGATGGCTTTGAAGATAGCAACTTTGTCCCCACAACAGAACTCCACAAAGCCCTTTCCACATCTGATGGTGTGAAGGTCGCTTCTTCTGAACTCAGCTCCTGCATATTATCCTCCATTTGGTGATCAATGGCATTCACATTTTTGTAATTTTTTATGATAAAAGGAATCTTATAAAAAAGATCGATCAGTTCATCAACAATGGCAGGCACCTACACCCCATATAAATTACACACACTAGCACGCCATTCTGAATTGAACTCGTATGTAACTTTAATTTGGTGACAGTGATTGTAAGAGATGAGAATTTAATATGACAAGTTAAAATCATCGAATAAAATACTTCTATTTGTAGTGTAAGCAGTTCTTGGTGGACAAAAAATTTGATGTTTGTGTTGGTAATGCATAGCAAGTGCATTTATGAATGACTGTTATACAGTTCATTCTACCACCATGTTTCTGCAGAAGTGCAAAAAGAGTTTCTTCCAAAAATCATTGTAAAAGTCACTTTCTGCCTAGCAATGGACTTTTTAAAATCCAGGATTTAACACCAGCAACACACTCACTGGCTATTAGAAATCTTAAGCGCGTTCCAACTCAACTAATACAAGGGGCAGCCACATTATTTTTTTTTAGCCCCTTTGATTTTTTAATTAGCAAAAATATCAAACTTTGGGTCGCCTCAACATAAACTTTATCTAGACTGTTGAATATTAACTTAATTTTTTCAGAAAATTTAGAAAACTCTCCTTTATATTTTCGAATGATCCCATAAGAACCACATTGCGACAATTTCGAATATGAATAACACAAAAGTACTGCAAATTGAATTTCGCAGTTCACATTTTGTTATAACAGAATCAGGGGTATGAGCTATGTAGCGAAAAAAAAAAAAAATAGCGCCAAGATTTCAACTAACCTTTGCTTTAGTTTGTAACTTATTGGCAAACAACAGATACTGCTTGGCCGTATAATCTTTTGAGTTACCAAGAGCTGCCTCCATAGCCTTTTATTTTTCATCAGCATTATGAGAATATTATTTAAAAAAAAAAAAAAAAAACGAATTAACAGAAAACAAAATCCAAAAAGCAATGAAACGGCATGTTTTAGATAAACAGACAATAAACTGTTTAACCAAAATTTACCTCATCGGACATGAACGGAGCCAAATCGGGAGCGTAGGCCGCGAGAATTGCAGATGCGGTGGCCGGACCGACGCCTTTGAGAACCGTAAGCTCAGAAACAGCTTTAGATATATCAGGAAGAGACTTAAAAGCCTTTCGAGACGCCGATTTCACCAGGTCTTCATCCAAGGCCGAAACGAAATCCAACAGGCGCGGCCTATAAATTCGATATAAATTAGTGGCAAATAACCTATAGATACACTGATAGACGACTATATATATACATATATATATATATATAGAGAGAGAGAGAGAGAGAGAGAGAGAAGAGAGAGGTACCGCCATTTTCCACGGGCGAGCTTCCATCGCATGAGCTGGGAGAGCTCGGAGGTGGTGATGAAGGGGTTAGGGTTTCGCTGACGGAGGAGAGGAGGGAGGTGGTTGCGGTAATAGTCGTCCAGCGAGACCAAATTGGATTTGTTGAGGGATTCTATGCGAGACTCGTAAGCAGAGAGGGCTTCTCGCCAGAGGCTAGGATTAGAGCACCCAAACTCCACCGCCATGCTTGTAACTCACTCTGTGTTTTTCACTTTCTTGGTGATGGTGGTGACTTTCCCGCTGGCGCTACCGCGCCTAAATTTTGTTTTTTTAATTGATTTGTGGAGGCCGTTTGGCGCATAAGGACTCTGGTTTGGCCCATTTTTTGTTGGACTTGGATTTTTCCGCATGGTATGAGTCCATTAGAATTTAGGAGGAGTAAGAACACCACCCTTCTTTTAGAGAGTTGTATTCATTCTTACACTTCAAAATTTTAAAAAGAAATTGTGAAATGTATCTTCTTTTTAGTTTTATGTTATTCTATTATGATTCTGTCAGACTTAAGTTGATATTAGATGGAGGAAATAAGGGCCCAAAATTGTATAGAATTTAATAAAGATAACAAATCTTTATATTTTCTAACTACATATGCATTTCTCTAGCTTTCCTAATTTGATAAGAAGATACTACTTTTACCCTTTTTTAAAATATAATTGCACTTACAAGTTTTCTTACACAATTTTTAACAATTTAAAAGATGTCGTTAGGGATTGTCAGCTCGTGTTGACAGGGGGACAAGTTTCCCACCGTCTCGTCACAAAGAGTTCATAACAACCATATAAAACATCTTCAACTCTCCTTATAACGGCATCGTTTCTCATTTCGTATTCTTTTAGCAATTTCTCATTACACAATTTTTTTTATGCGATCTTCATTTTCTTAGTGAGCTTTTGTTGGCAAAATCGACTGCACTCTAATGGTGGCTACTTTAGCTATAGAAAGGACTTTTTCCCTAGCAACTGATACTCTAGAGGCGACGACTAGTTGATTAAGGGTTACATATTAAGATTTTTAAAATTAGATAGATATCTAGGGTCTTAAAATTTGGGGATTTCATCAAATTTTGGGATTTTTAAAATTGGGAATATATTTACCAAATAAAATTTGAAATATTTTCCCAACAAAAAATTCAAATCATGTATAGGTAATTTTTTTCTTTACTTGAAAATTGGGCCATTGTTTTTTTTTGTCCTTACCCTCTAATGTCTGTCTATTTCCCTCCTCAGATTTTATAAATTTTAATAAACAAAAGAAAAGCCAGATTCCGCTTACGGGGGTGACAATTTTTCTTCTAAATTTTCATACCGTGCTTCAAAATTAAGTGGATGATAATTAGACTTACGTTTCGATAACAACATTCGTACGTCTCAATTGAATGATCATAGCGATCATCTATGATTAGCCATCACCATAAAATGAAGTCCACATGCCACAGTTTTTTGTGATTTAGAATTGAGATCAATGAGAAGTTACGACATAAAAGCTATAATTATGAAGTAGATATGAGTTTCCATTTATGAAGTTTGCGTGGTTCTCTACAGCTCGCGAGAAGGGAATTGTAGATGAAGTTTTTATTATTATTATTTTATTTAAAGGTAAATATGATAATTTTATTAAAAAGCCACTAAAGGGATAAAATACATGACTGCACTAAAGTCATAGGAACGGGTGTCACTCACAATATTAGACATTAGAAATGCCTCCCTAATCCAATAACGGGGAGGACACATCCTAAAAGTGGCTCTATAACATTTGGCCACAAATAATCGACTCAAATAGAGCCAGATTCTAGTCCTGTAATGGACCTCACACATACACACATACCTCAGACTAGCAGTGGTGAAGAAGCCATTTTACAACAAAATACAAAAAAATTATACACAAATCCACAACCTAGACATGAGAGATCTGGTTAGAGATGGTGTGAACACCACGAGCAAGCAACTCCACCAAGTCTGTTCATGAGTTTTCAGAGTCCACGGACGGTGAACATCCTCCGAAGATTGTGTAAAGACACTGAGAAACTTATACCTTCATGGGCCAAATTTGAGGAAACGCCACATCTTCTAGTTACACGGAGCCCATCACCTTTTAAATCATCTTGCTGCAAGATTAAAGATGAGATTTTTATGGCGAGGCCAAAGAAAAAAGGCCGGCAAAGAAACTTAGAGAGAAAGAGGAGAAAACGTTTTAGAGAGTGAGAGCCTTTGAAATTATGTAGATGAAGTATTTTAAAATATAAAGTTTTGAAAAAGAACTTTACAATAATCAATATTTCAATATTATCTATTCATCAAGACCCTAAAAAATCATTTATTTTAGGTTCTTTCTCTCAAACTTTTTCTCTTCATTCTCTTTAAGTTTCTCTGTTAGCCTTTTCTCTTTAGCCGGAGATCCGGCGTGGCCATAAAAATCTCATCCCTGACCTCGGTCGCAGTGAGACAATCTACAAGGTGATGGGCACCACGTAACCAGAGGAGGTGACGTTTTGTCAAATTTGACCCGTGAAGGTATGAGTTTCTCTGTGGTTTTACACGATCTTTGGAACGTGTTCGCCCGCCGTGAACTCTGGAAACTCATGGATAAACTTAAGGGAGTTGCTTGCTCGTGGTGTTCACACCATTTCTAACCAGATCTTTCATGTGCAAGATATGGATTTGTGTATAGTTTTTTGTATTTTGTTCTTTATTTTGCTGTAATAATGGCGATGGTTTCCCCATCTCCCGGTGTGTTCCTCCAGCTAGAGGATGGTTTCTCCACCTCTCCTCTTTATTTTGCTGTAATAATGGCGATGGTTTTCCCATCTCCCGGTGTGTTCCTCCAGCTAGAGGATGGTTTCTCCACCTCTCTCAATCTATGGTGTTTTGTCCCTCAGCCAGCAGTTGGCTTCCCTACTGCTGCTAGTATAAGATATGTGTATATGTCTGAGGTCCATTATATGACTAGTATCTGGCTCACTTTGTGTGACGACATTTACTTCTGATCATCACTACTACGTTCATACTTAATTCATATCTTAACTTCTACTACTTTAAAACCATAGACTCCTAAAATTTAGGCTACTTTTGTTCTTCAATAGTGAAATAAATTCCAATATATTTTGTTGGGTAAAAACTTCGATTAGTATTTCATTGTAAAACTTGAATATTATAAGTACTTTTCCTAAAACATTTTCAACTTCCTAACATTGAATAATTTGTAGGTAAAATTATTTTAAAACTATGAAATTATTTTCCTTAAACATGGTCGTATATTTAACCTATCATTTGCATACCATTCTCGTTCATATGCCATTAACATGATAGTATTTTGGATACATAAACATACCTTGTGACTTGAGGTTACTATTGATGAGTGAGTTTTACTCGCTTATTTAGTATTATTTTACACTTAATATCTAGTTGGTTTTCGAGGTTTTTGTTAGTTTTTATGTGTGTTTTCATTCTTTGTTTGAAGGTTAGGTGAAAGTCTATGATTTGGAAGGTTTTGAACAACTTTTGGTGGAAAAAGACAGCAAACATAGTGCTCAGGTGCCAATTTGAAGCATTTTGACACTCAGTTTTAAGGAACCAAGACATTTGGGCAGAATGGGCAGCTTTTTGGCGCCCATGATTTTTCACAGGCAGTGCCGCAACGCTAGGAACTCAGCGCCGCGGCGCTACGACGCGAGAAAAGGCGCGTTTTGAAGGCCAATCATGAGAAAACTTACCCGTTTTAACCCTAATGCTCCTAAACATATAAATAGATTATTCTAGGTCAATTAAAAGGGACTTTTAGATTGGAGAATGACGGCTGACTTTTGAGAGGAGATACAAGAAGAAAAATGAGAATTTAGTACGGAGAAGAAGAACGGCAAAAATCTGGAGATGAAGACGCTTCAATTCAACTCCAAACTAGTTCTTTTCTTTCCTTTCCAATGATTAAGACTTTGTTTAGGAATTTATCTTGTTTAGAGATGAACTAATTTCTTTTTCTAGGGCTACGATGTAGCCGGATTATGAATGTTCAGATTCTCAATCTTCTTTTTAAGCAATTGATGTTTAATCCATATGTGCTGAGCATTTCAATTTATTCTTAATGCTTGTGATTGTTTGGCCAACTATTACATGATTTTGCATTTGATTTGAGACCGAGAGGTGATAATTAAATAAGCTCTTAATTGAAATACCATGAGTTGTTCATAGGATAGAGATATCTATGATGCTTGTGCAGTTTTTTTGAATTTCTTGCACTTAATGATTTTCAACAGGTTTAGAAGTCTGACAGAAATGTAGAGTTTGGTTGTTGGATTAATATGAGCTTGAGAAAGAATAATAATTGCTTTAGAGAAATTGCTGTCAGTATAGGATTGAATGTTAATTTTCTTGAATTATGGGAATTTGAACAGGATTAATTTTGGTGAAATCGGAAACCCTAGAGTCTTAATCTATTGAATTTTATTCCATTGCGTAGCGTTGTTTGATTTATTTAATCATTTTAGTTTTACTTTACTTAATTTTATAAACTCTCTTTTTGATTATTCAAATAAAATTAGGGTTAATATAATTTCGGTAATTAGTAAACAACAATCCTTGTGGGACAATATTCTTATTCACTATTATATTACTTGATTGCGATAGCGTATACTTGCGTTACGATTATTCACAACAACTATGCATAGCCTCATTATCTCGTACACTTTACTTTCATTACATAACTTGTTAACATTCATTAACATTATTTACTTTATACACATAAAGCTTAGCAGCGTTTTCAAAACAAGTGATGCACCCATTATCCACTTGCCCACATCCCACTGCTTCATCCTTTTTTGCACGCCCAGCAAACATGTTTCAGGGAGCCGGTGCCTTACCTGAGCTTCCTACAACACGAATAAACAAGATGAGCTTTCACTCAACAAGTAACAGTAGATAATAACAAGTACAAATAGTAATGCATACCCATATATACATTTATGTCATACATCCTAACATACTTTCTAAACATCTAAAGCATTTATTGTATTATTCTTTCTTTCTTTTCGTTTCACAGTTACAACTTTCGTTCTTGTGTCATTCATTTTCATAACTTTTACTTCTTATGGGCCATATACTTGTTGTATCGTTGTGCACATACCCAATGAGGAGTAAGGGAGCTACCCAAAACTAACTCATCCATGGTTTTATTCATAATAACCTCCCTTACGAAGGCCGGTACAAACAGTTTACTAACTTCTTATCATTTCTCATCTTTACTTTATACATCGTCTTACTATCATCATTTCTTA